ACAGTGAGGCATGGGTTGGTTCAACTAAGGTCAAGAAATTGAATCCTATTCCCATTCACCCCAGTACAATTTAATTTCATGATCCTAAGTGTTGTCCTATTCAAATTCAAACTTTTCTGTATATCTTATGATGAAAAAACATAATTCACACAGCTGCAAAATGTATAAGAAACTCCTAAGTTTTTTATCTTAATGTTTGTATCAGCATAAATTTACAATAGTTGAAGGCTTAAACAAAAATGTATTGAAGCTTAAAGCCAATTTAAGGTCTACCAGACATATATGCAAGACAAAAGCCTTGTTCTCACTGAGCTGACAAAACAAATATATAATAAAAAACTATACTAGGAAACATTGATATAAGTGTCATAAATAAAGTTTAAAAAAATACTATGAACCTTTAGAGAAGGGAGATCACAATTGTTTGAGGTTAGAGAAAACAATGTTAATCAAACCATAGTAAAATGAGAGGGGAGCAAGGGCCATTTTCAGGACTCAGAAACCTAAAGCTTAGCTAAAGTACAGTGCTCAGGGAAAAAGACTCAAAAGCCAGGTGGTAGAGCTGGTATTGTGGCTCAGTGGTAGAGCACTTGCCTAGCATGTGTGAGACACTGGGTTTGATTCTCAGCATCACATATAAATAAAATAAAGTCCATTAACAACTAAAAAAAATTTAAAAAGCCAGGTGGGAGCTGCATTGCCTACAAAGAGCTTTAAAGTCAGGTTAAAGATATATATAATAAAGCCACTGTGTGGGGGGGGACATATAATAAAGCCACACTGTATGTTACTGTGCTGCAAACAGAACTGGTCCTTTTGGAAACATAAAAGTATCTAATGAAATGAGGTATGCTAAAAGCCATATTATTGAGTTTATAATAATCCAGAGGAGGAAATAAAGAGGGTCTAAACCAGGTGGCTCCCAGGTAACAGTGTGACTAGAAAGGAGACATACATTTAGAATCCAGTGGACTTGGTAAGAGATTTGCTATTCAGGGGCAAGGGAGGGAGCAAAGGAGAATCAACAGTAATGTCACAGTTGTGATTCTGGATGATCAGAAGATGTGGTTACAGAGCAAGAATATTTTTATTTGGTTTTTGATTGAATGCTTGAGGACTTGGGTCTTTTGCTAGTAATACTTGTTAGGGGCCAGCTGATGGGCTGTGTAGGAATCCTTTTGGGACACATTCCTAAGCCTCCTTGGTATTACAGATGTTTACTTTTGGAAAGTTACAGTCTCTGTGGTGATTGGCTTTTTTCATATTACAATGGATACTTCAATCTCCTGAAATCTGGGTCTCTGCAGTAGATGATAGTGCTTACTCATTATCTGCTTAAATAAAATAGGAGTTAGGTTTTGTCTTTCTGTTCCCACCCCCCAAAGATACCCTAAATACATAAACTAAAGAAAACAATAAACAAAAGAATGTAATTTTCCTAATAAAAGTAGGGAAGTCAAGAAGAACTGCTGATTTTATATTATCTAGTTTAAGAGTAAGTACAGTACAAGTAAGGTCCAGGTCTGAACACGTTAAGTTTAACAAATCAGATGTAAATATCCAACAATTAGAAATGGCACTAGAATATAAAGAGAGATGTGTCTTCTCCACAGATAAAATGATAAAATATCATTTTCATAAAATGAGTAAACAAAGTAAAAACAAAGATGAAGATAGACTCTTGGAGAATAAAAATAGTTAAGAGAACCTAATAAAAAAAGTTTACTGTTCCCATGGTAAGACAATAAGCAAAATGTTATAAGAGGTAGAATGTCTAAATCAGAGTTTCAAAAAGAAGTAGCTATTATGGTATCAAACACTGAAAAGGATCCAAGAAGAAAAGCTGAGAAAAATAAAATGCCAATGGGATGTGGCACTGAGGAGTTTGGTTTTTAAAAAGTCAGGTGGCAAAGGTTACAAAAGGGGAGATGGCAGCAGGCGGAAGGAATAGATTGTAATAGTTTTGCTTTGTTTAAGATAAAAGAGAAAAATCCACTCTTCTAGCTCCAACACAAAGAACTACATTCAAATTCTGAAAGTGTGATGCTTGCAAACCAAATGAGGCATGGAGTAGAGAGAAAAATCCTTTATTTATATTTTATTTATAGCATTTAATGATTTTCACACTGTAAATACTCCCACCACAGCCCATTTCAAGCTGCTGATGGTTGGTCAAATTGTCAAGAATTTAGCAATGGCTTGTGTTGTAAAATTCTTAAAAATTTAACAATGGCTTGCTGGCATAAATCAACTTTAGTATATCACTGCAAACAACCCATTTTATGTTATATCCTGTAAATGAGCTATTCTGTGACAACTTTCCTCTAAACTTCATTGATATTTATTAATTCTCTGGGACAACCTTACAGCCATTCACAGAAATCTATCCTGCTCTTGTTACATATCACTTTCTCAATTGTATTGCAATTAAAAAGGTTAGATATTGAAAGCAAAAATGGCTCTCCAGCAGGCCCATCTTCACTTAGAGCCACAAAGGAAAAGACAAAAATTATACACTTCAAAAAACTGTCAGATGACTGTTTTATAATTGTTTCATTTGTTAATGTCATCTCCCCATCTGTATTGGTCTGTTCTCCATTGTCAATAAGATAATATCACAGACAAAGTTATAAGAAAAGAAATATTTTGGGTCACAATTCACGAGACACAAGGTTAAGGGACCTCATCTGGTGTTGACCTTCTTTCTGGAAAAGTCTGGAGTGGCACTGAGAATCACATGCCAAGAGTCAGGGAGTACAAGAGTATACAGTATGTATATGTGTCTGATTTCTCTCTCTCATTCTTCCTATAAAACTACAAGGATACACATCCGGGGCTCTACCCTGAAGACTTTTTCTGAACCTAAAAAGTTCCCAAAGGCCCTACTTTTAAAAAAAAAATCATACACTGATTAAGTTTCTACCCTCTTAATATCTCATGATGCAGATTAATTTCAACATGTGAAGCCTTGTAGGACATTCAAACCAATACACCACCTAAACCCTAAACATCTTAAGTCTAGGATACTTGACTCAAAACAAGAGCCAAACATCCCATCAGTCCCAATCCAAGTGAGAAGCAGCACAAATATGGGGGAAATGCCTTAAACTAAATCCAGACAGCTAGAGGAAAGAGGTTCCAACTTAGCCCTATTACTCATGGGTGGCATTTTCAACTGGAAAATAGGAACAGGAATACCTAGGATTTTAGGTTTAATATGACCAGTAGGAAAAGGAACATAGCATTCTCTTCCTTCTTGGTAAAGAGGACATTGGACATTGCTCAAGTGTACTGCCAAGAATACCAGGGAGGCCCACCTCTTTTCAGGGACTATAGCTCATCAGCTGCTAATAATTTTTAATGGTGTGCCCTCAATGACCTCCAGCCATCACCAAAGCCATATATCTTTTTTTTTTTTTTTTTTAAACAGCTGTGTTCTGGACTCTCAAACCCTACAATAACATCAAGACTACAAAGTCCACCTGTAAGAAATCTCCAAAAGAGGCAAAAATGTTTGGACAAACCTGATAGGAACACAAGATACCAGCTGGATTCCTACTTGCCATCATATGACATTCATCAACTCATCTCTGTATAACAAGGAAGTTCATTAATAAAGCAAAACAGTGGATCCTTTCATACTATAAACAAAACTCAGAGAAGAACCTAATTTCTAATATTTCACAATTTCCCCCTACAGCAATCTTTCCAAATACCCCTGTCTTCATGATACTCCATAATCTATCAGTTAGATTAGGTTTCTTATAAAAATTCCTCCACACATCTAAAGTAGAACTATTGTCAAAATATTTAATTTACAAGGGAAAAGTACACAACTTTACTCTCCAACATAAAGTACCAGTCTGGAGAAGCAATAATCTTGATGGTAATTAAACTTTCCAACAACTAACTACTTCTCTTCTACACACAACTGCATGAAATTAGTTGTGGATATAAAAAAAAAAATACTTAGTCTACCTCTATCAAAACACCTTCACATCAGATGTGCCCTTCACCTTCTACTTTCCTACACGTGAGTCTTTTTTGGAGTTAAGCGCGCGCGCGCGCGCACACACACACACACACTTTTCCAGTAAGGAGAGCGGGGCTTGGAAGTAAAGGATCTACATTTGAAAGATGAATTTTCACTGCTGAACTTATGGAAAGAAGGGGTTAACCTTCTTTCCATAAAGTCTGAAGTCAGAACTCAAAGCCATACGCCCACTTCCCAGACCCCTTTCCCTGGACACCCCAATTCCCCGCTTCTCAGGGGCTGTTTCTCTAGGACTGCGGAGGAGGCACCGCCCCCTTTCCCCCGGTTTTAGGGATGATCCGCCCGCGGCACTTTCCGTCTTGCCTAGCTGGACCGAGCACAGCGTGAACTTCAACACCCAGAGGCGCTAGGAGGCGGACAGTGACTCGGGGACAGTTGCGGGGTCGGCCGATCACAGCTGTCCATGCCGGGCAGGGCCAGGTCCCATAGCGGGTCTAGAAACGCAACCACCCAACCGCCTCGCTGAGCTACTTACACAACAGCGGGCGGCCCCAGGCGCAGCGGGTCACCTCGGACGCCCCGGGGGCTGGTGCTGACCGCGCCCGCCGGGCAGAGCTGCGCGGGGTTTCACGTCAGGGTGCCGCGCGGACGCGCATCGGACCGGACGAGGCCGCTGTCCGGCATTGCCAAGCTGGGGACAAGTCCTGGGCGCTGCCCGAGAATCACGCACCCTTCTGCCGGCCGTACTTACTTACCCCTGGCTGCTTTCTGCGGAGTCCACCTCCTCCTCCTCCGCCGCCATCGCCGCAGCGCAACAAGCGGGACAAGCTTGGAAGCCGGCTGACGGGCCGACTGCGCCGCCCCGGCCGCAGCCGCTCTTAAGGCCGCTCAGCTCGCGCATGCGCCGCACATCCGCCGGGAAGCCCGCGCTTGCGCGTGCCCAGCCGCTTCGTCCTCCCCACCCCTACCCCCACCCCTCGGCTGACTATCTGCGCATGCGTTGTCCCGCCCGACCCGCTGCTGCAGAGTCAACCTGGAAGAACTGGTGAGACTCACCTGACAGAGTTAGGTAGAAACTCATTCGATAATGAATTTGTAAGTAGGTCACCCTGGTAGTACTGACTATTAAGAGCTGCATACCGTTCGAGCACCTGGTAGTCTGGGACTAAGGTGCATCCCTTCCCTGGAAGAGTCCACTTGATGGGTTTGGCCTTCACCAGCTGGTCCCTGCAAGTGGGTGGACAGCAGGAAAGCATGACTCACAGCACCCTTCAGCTGTGGCTCTAGGTTCTGGAGTTACAGTAGTGACCCAAACCAGCAACCCCCGCCCGCGTGCTTTAAATACATGGGATGGGTGAATGGGTGAAAAGAACTTAGGTGTTGAGGAACTCAGGGTTCAGGAACTTAGGGTTCCTGAGGGAGAAAATCACTAATGTAAATGTCAACATTTTTTTGACCTATTTTCAAGCCAAAATAGCCATCAGATACAAACTGCTTTTTAAATTATACCGTTCCCTACCATTTATCCATTTGTGTTTAGTGTGGGCCTACTGTGTGCCCAACCCTTTCTAGGTGCTGGGAAAGGATGGATTGAAATAGGACTCTTGCCTTTACAGAGCCTAGGTTAATATCCTGCCATTTATTTGAAACTCAGTTCATTACTCTCCGTCTTAATCCATTGTGTGCTGATATAAAAGAATACCTGAGGTTGGGGCATTTATAATAAACCACAATTCTGGAAGTTGTGGCATATGATAAGGACTCTGCTTTTTCTCTTTTCTGATCCCCCTTGTAAACTTGATGTGTTTCTGTAGCCCATCAGGCACTCGTATTCTCAGCCTTGTATAATTGTTACAACTTTTTAGTGGACAGTATTGAATATCCTTCCAACCATACTGCAAGTTCCTCACAGGTCAGGTTGTGTGATGTAAAGGGAGGAAAGCCACTCATAACCTCTTGAGCACGGTACTAATACATATTTCTTATTGTATTTGATCCAATTTATAAAATACCTTAGGGAAGATCAGAACATATAAAAAACACTTTTATAGGAATTCATAGTATTGCCTGAGACTTGTAATAGCAGAAGGGCAAAGAGAGTGCAAAAAAGACTCCAAGGGGGCTGAACTCTTTTTTATAACAAACTCACTCCTGAGATAACAGCATTAATGCATGTGTGAGGGCAATGCTTCTGTAAACCAAACACTTCCTATCCTTCTAAAACCACTGCATTGGGATCAAGTTTCTAGTACATGAACTTTGGGAGACACATTGAAACCATATCACTCTCCTCTGTCACTCTAGCCTCACAGCAGCCTCTTTTTTTTTTTTTCTCTTCTGATCCCCCCTATAAACCAGATGTGTCTATAGCCCATCAGACACTCATATTCTCAGCCTTGTTTAATTGTTACAGCTTTTTAATGGCCATGATTGAATATCCTTCCAACTACACTGGAAGTTCCTCAAAGATAGTGGTGTGTTCTGTGATTTCAAGGAATGGGTGGAGTCACTTGTAACCTGTTGAGCATATAATAATTAATAAATATTTCTTACTGTATTGGATCCAATTCACAAAATATTTTAGGGAAGATCAGAACATATAAAAATACTTTTATAGGAATTAATGGCATTGTTAGACTTGTAATGTGTCTGCAGAAACCAGCCTTTTACAATCTCTACCTCTCAGAGCACTTCTAGATAGGGAGATTCTAGCCTAGTTGGGGATTCTACTATCTGGAACACAGTCCCAGCCCAGTGGTACTGTGTCTAGCAACAAAACCCTAGGTTGTGGCAGCAGTTCAAATCCAACTTTCAGAAAGTTGGGCTAGCTAGTAGCATGCACCCTCAGAAGTCTTTGTGTACCTGAAGCTCACTTTCATAGATGTATGTGGCTACTGCACAATTTTAAAAAAATAGGAGATTATTGATCAAATGCTGGAGTTTATCCATAAACTGACAGAGCTTTGCATAGGGTTATAGGCCTTGATGATCTTCCCCAACTCTGGACACAGTTCTGGCTTAGGCTTCACCTTGATGCTGATAAAGGAACTTTCTTTGACTATGGCAAGAATACCAAGCTGGGGGGGCTGGGGTTATGGCTCAACAATAGAGTGCTCGTCTCACATGTGCAAGGGCCTGGGTACGATCCTCAGCACCATATATAAATAAACAAAATAAAGCTATTAAAAAAACAAACTTATCTTTAAAAAAAAGGAATACCAAGCTGGAATTAGCCATCTACCTAGTCCCTGGGTGTAGGCAGCAGCATTTAAACCTGAGCCCCATCCTAACTACTATGCTCTGTCTTTGAAGACAAGGAATATAACTGCTGTCACTAACCTATAGCTTGAGGGCACCCAACACCAATATCAACCACTGCCTAGGCCACATCTCCTTCATCATTACTTCCCTGCACTTTGATGGTGCCCTGAAAGCAGATCTCCCAGAGTTTAAGGCCAACCTGGTCCCTACTTCCAAATCACTTCCTTTAGGTGACCTGCTAGCCAGTTAGCAGTGCTTATGTTAGGAGATCACCAACAGCTACTTTGCATTCTCTAATCAGATGGTCAGGATACTAACCAAGGAAAGTATGTAACCTGCTTTGCATGTTCTACCCTAGGGTTGTGACTGAAAGTACTGAATGCTGCCGTGTATCACCAAGGGCAAGTATATTATACAGTTTGATGACTCGTGCCCCACTGGTTTCGAGGTTTATTTTAATTTGTAGCCTTTCACCAGTGGTTCCCTTGAGGAAAATACTGAGCAACATCACAGGGGCTTGGGATCTTTATCACAAGTCTACCAAGCAAGCACTTGCAAACCAGAAAGAGGGTGAAGGCGTGGAAAAGGGAAAATTTTCTGAGGCCCCCAATGGCCTAGTTGCTCTATAAAAATTTATTTAAAAGTTGTGTAATTAAACATGTGGAGAAATCAAGTGTGGCAGGGAGATAGTAGGAAGGAGACAGAAGGTAATGTCAAGTGGTAGCTTGATTAGGGAAAGGGCCTACACTGGTCACCTGTATGATCTTGAGACGAAATCATAGATAATTTCTTAGTCTCTAATCACCATTGAAACTTATATGGATCTTGTTTAATTGCAGATTCTGACTGTAAATCTGGAGTGGAACCTGGGATTCTCTGTTTCTAACCAGCTCTCAGTAACGCCTGTGTTCCTGCTGCCACTCCACAGAATGTATTTAAACTCTAGAGCAACTCTATCCACTAGAACATTCTGCAGTAATGGAAATGTTCTAGACCCACACCATCCAGTGTAGTTGCCTTTAGTCACATGTGGCTATGGAACATTGGAAATTTGACTAGTAAGAGTGATTTTTTTTTTCATTGTCATATTAATTAAAATTTAAAAGCTACTTGTGGCTTATGGCTATCGTGTCTGACAGCAAGTAAAGATCCCACAGTCCTCATCTATAAAAATGAGTTTGAGACTAGACAATTCCCAGATTCCCTTATATCATTATGTTGTTTCAAGTTGTTGTTTTCAAAGATGTGTGTGTGATGAGGATTGAAAGATTTCCCCGTAATTTGTGGAGGAAGAAGAAAGGGGACTTTGCTTCCCTAGGAGTTGGATTCTAGAACTGAGTGGTAGAGCTAACCCCCAAAGACAAGAAACTGATTAACCAATGAGTATTAATTGAACTCTCAGAACCATTTGGAAGGCCTTCTTCAGCCACTCATAACCCCCAAGCTGTAAAGGAAAACAGTGATTAATTTAGCACATTCAGATTTGAAGCAGCTGTGTGAAAAGGGCACAATAAAACACAGTGAAAGATATGAGACAGACTGGGAAACAACTATTTTGGACATGGTAATAAACCCAGGTTTCATATCTTAAACACATAAAGAAAAAAATGAATAAGAACAAAATAAAAAATAGATTTTTTAAAAGACATCTCAGAAGAAAAAGGCCTCAAGTCTTAAGTAGCCACAAGATGTTGGGACTCATTGATGATTGGGGAAGTGCAGATTCAAACCATGATCACATTTGTGAGAAATAAAAAATAAATAAATAAATAAATAAATAGCTGAATATTGGGAAGGACCTGGATCAGGGGGGAATGTTTCTATCTAGTTGGTGAGAGTGCAAATTGGTACAACCATTGGAAAGTGGTTTGGGAGTTATCTGCTTAAAAATGTAAAATTAAGGTATCCTCTGTCTCCAAAATTTAACTTCGGGGGTTCTAGTCTTTCTCGTGCCCACATAAAGACATACCATGATATTTGCTTCAGTATTCAAAAAGAGAAATGAAATTAGTTAAGAATGCCTGAGATTATGTCCATGGTTAAATAAATCCTCACATCTCCATTACATAAAATACTATGGCAGCAATTAAGAAAAATGTACTAAATAATATCCAAAGCATATTATGTAGAAAAAGAAGAATCCATGAAATATGATCCAAAACTTGTTTCTTCAAGTTTTAACAGAATCAGTAGAGTCCTAGATTCTGTTATCAGTAGAGTCCTAGATAACTGATCATGTTGGGGGAAAAGAGAAAGCATAAGCTAAAAATATCAGGAATGGAAGATAGATCGCTACAGATTTTACTCACATTAAAAATAAAATTAGGCAAAGTCAGGCACAGTGGTGCACATCATAATCCCAGTGACTGAAGCTGAGGCAGAAGGATTGCAAGTTCAAGGTCAACCTTGGCGATTTAGCAAGACCCTGTCTCAAAATAAAATATAAAAATGGCTGGGGATATAATTCAGTAGTAGAGCCCCCTGGAGTTCAGAGTTCAGTCCCCAGTAATCCTGTAAACATACGCAGTATTACAGATAACTTTCGCCAATAAACCCATCAATGTACATGAAACAGACAAAATATTTAGAAAGCAAAACTTACCAAAACTGTCAAGATGAAACAGGCAATCTGAATAACTTGATATTTATTTTTTAAAATAGAATATGTAACTTAAAAAACTTCCCACAAAGAAAACTATTTGTTCAAATAATGAATTATCCCCTACGGTAGAGTAAGTGAGTCACGGGTTCTTTGCTACTCCTCACAGCATTTGAAGTCTACTTTTTCTTCTCTTGAACTTGAGCTTGTGATTTGTTTTGATCAGTAGCCTGTGGCAGAAGTGATGCTGTGTAATTTCTAAGGCTGGAATTGAAGAGATCTGTAGCTTCAGTGTTTGCCAATTCATATACTTCCTCTTGAAAGTCAACCACTAAAGTAAAAGTCTGACTCCCTGAGTACACCATGCAGTGAGGAAGCTTGCTAGCAATGTGAAGACCATGTGCAGAGCACCAAGGTCCCAGACCTGAGAGTGAAGCTTTTATAGAATTTCCAGACAACCTACCCCACCACTTGAATGCAGCAGAGTGGATGACCCCAAACAACACCATGTGGATTCAAGTACTGGCAGGAATGACCTGGAATTCCTGAACCTCAGAATTGTAAGAAAATGAAATGGTGACTGTTTCAAGCCACTATATTTTGAGGTAGTTTTTTAGGTAGCAATATAACATCAAATTGCCCTCACGCCAAGTATTAATAACCCTTTACCTCTTGCTATAATTTGAGTGTGTCCCCCAAGCTTCATGTGCTGGAAGCTTAATCCCCAGTGTAGCCGTGTTGGAAGATGGGGCATAAAGGGATGTTTAGATCATGAGAGCTCCAAACTCATGAATGAATTAACATCATTATCACAGAAGTGATTGGGTTATCTCAGGAGTGGGTTTGTTAGAAAAGCAAGTTCAACTCTCAACTGTCCCCCTCTAACTCACTCTTTCACTCACATGATGCTTTCTTTTTATGTTATGATGTAGCAGGAAGACCCTCATCAAATGTGGCCCCCTAATCTTGGACTTTCCAGCCTCTAGAAGAATCATGAGCCAAATCAATTTCTTTTCACTGTAAATTATCCAGTCTGTGGTATTCTGTTATAGCAGCATAAAATGGATTAAGACGCTTCACTAGTGTATAATGCCACTACTTTATGTAATAAATTATTTAGTTAATTTATTTAATTAAATTTTTGCAAGCAGTTTCTTTTTCATTCTTATTTTGAGCTAATTACATATGCATATGTAGTTGTAAGAATAGTGCCGTGAGAGGTCCCATGGTCCCTTTACCAGTTTCCCCTTGTAGCAACAGCTTGCAAAACCATAGTACAATGTCACAACTAGGATATTAACATTGAAACAGTAAAGATATGGGAAGATTTCCATCACTGTAAGAATCCCTCGTATTGACCTTTGATAGCCACACCCACCCTCCTCTCTTGCACACACACCCTTAACCTCTGGCAACCACTAATCCGTTCTTATTATTTTTTTAGTTCAAGAAAGTTATACAAATTGAATCATACAGTATGTTAAACTTTTGGGAAGTAACCTTTGAGATTAAATGTTTTTCAGCATAATTCCCTGGCAATTCACTGAATTGTATGCATTCATCTCCATTCCTTTTTATTGCTAAATAGCATTCCACAGGTGTATGTACCAGTTTAATCACTCACCTGTTGAAGAATGTCTGAATTATTTCCAGTTTTCAGATATTGCAAATAAAGCTGCCATAAGCATTTGCGTACAGGTTTTTAGTTGAACCTTGCAAAATTTCTCTGGAATAAATGCCAAAGAGTGCAATTGCTGGATCATATGATACTTGCATATTTAAAAAAAAAAAACTGCCACACTATTTTCCAGAGTGTGTCTTTTATACTCCCACCAATAAAGTGTGATTGATGAAGTTTCTCTACATCCTCACTAGCTTTTGGTGGTGTTGCTATTCTTTTTTGTTTTAATTTTAGCCATTCTTCTAGATCTGTAGTGATGTTCCCTTGTGGTTTCACTACTGGCTAATGATGTCATGTATTTTTTTGAGGCTTATTTGTCATCTGTATATTCTCTTCAATGAAATACGTGTTTTAGGATTTTACCCCATTTTCTAACTGATGAGTTTTGAGAATTCTTTATATTCTGTAGATATGAGTCCTTTGTCAGATGCATGGTTTGCAAATTTTTGCCACCTGTACTTTCTCTTTTTATGCTTTTCACATAGACTTCTGCAGAGTAAAAGTTTTTGATGAAATCTGATGTTTTAACCTTTTGATGGATTGTGCTTTTGATGTCAAGTCTAAAACCTCTTTTTTTCTAAAAGCTGAATGGGTTTTTGTTTATTACAGTTCAGCCCATGACCCATGTTGAGTTAATTTTTGTGTAAGGTGAGAAATTTGGTTGAAGTTTATTAATTTACTTTTGCCTGCTAAATATTATTAAGCTCCAGCACCATTTGTTAAAATTACAATTAGTTTTAAATTTATTAGGTAGCTCTTGTGATCATAAAAGATGTGTATGTAAAGGTGAAGATATTTTTTAGTGTAAGATCACTAAGATGAGGTGTTTAAATTCCCCTAGAAGGAAGGAATTATTGCCCAAAATGTAGCGAATGTTTCATTAGATGAACTTCCAAATTTTAGTTCCACCAGGGAACGTCTGCTACAGAAAGCTGCCTCACCAGAATCATGACCTATCTAATAATGAATGGAAACAGGGATAGAAAGGATCAGCATTTGTTCCATTTGGCCCAAAGTGAAACAATTCTGTGAGCCATCTCTGCTTCAAACTCCCTGGGGCTGAGGCTGTTGAGCCTACATTACAGCTCACCTTCTCCCTCTACCGGATCACACTTTGTCTCATCCTTCCCACAGGTGTTGATCTCAGTGATATTCCTGAATATTAAAGTCTTTCTCAGATTGCTTTCTGGAGAACCCAAACTTAGATACTTATTTTTGTTTTCATTTAATGTTAAGTACATTTGGTTTAAGTTTTGAGAATGGATGAGAAGGTCATAACTTGATATTTTTATAGTACTACTCTAGGAGTCTGTCACCTCAGAAGAACTTTCATCAGAAACTCTACTTTCACAACCCAACACTTCAAAAGAGGAGAGCAAGCTGAAAGGAAGGGAAAAGGCAGGTGTGGGTGGTAGGATTCACATAAGCATCAACACAGGGACAGAGAGAGAGAGAGCTTCCACATGCTGTCCCCTCCTCTACTGCTATGGTATGCAGTGGTTCCAATGTTAGAAAGGTAAGTTTGTGGGTGAACATCTCCAAAGCAATATATCAGGACCAAATATCCTCATCAACATTGATCAGAAATCAATTGAGAACCTGAATATAATCCCTGTTGGTAAGCTTTTTGTTTCTGTGATAAAATGTCTGAGATAATCAACTTTTAGGAGAAAAGATTATTTTGGCTTTTGATTTCAGAGGTTCCAGTTCATGGTCCTCGGCTGTGTCACTTTGGGCCTGTGGTGACACAATACATCATGATGGGGGAACATGTTGGAGAAGGTCAGTTAACCTCATGGTGCTGGGGAAGCATGGTAGGGGGAAGGGGCTAGATTCCAGTATCCCTCAAGAGTACACCTTTGGTGACCTAATTTCCTCTCACTATGGCCCACCTCCCAGTAAGCCCCATAGGCTGGTGATTAAGCCTTTAGTATGTGGGCTTTGGAAGACATTTAAGATGCAAATCATAACAATCCCCACTTGTACCAGCCTTAATTCTGGTATTCTTTGGACAATTTTTATGACTACTAGGGAAACCCAGATAAAATGAGAAGGACTCCACAGAAGTTAATGTTCAATTTAAAGCTCCAGTGTCACCAGAGTTGGGACAGGGAAGAGAAAGGATAGGAAGAAGCCAGAGGGGCTTGCATTCAATATCTTGTCATGACCCTTGTCCCAGGAAATTCAAAGACATAGTGATTTAGAAAGAGAATTATAACAACATTCCTTTGGTCTGCCTTCCATTCCATTTGATACAATAGAAGAGCCCTGGATTTTTATTTTCAACAAAATCAATCCTTTTTTTTTTAAAAAAAGGTTTTTTTAAACCACATTTCAAATCTCTTAAACTTCATTTTTCTTATGTGTTTTTTTTTTTCTGATAGGTCCATGCTGAAAGAACAGGCATCCTAATAAATCAGGAAAAAGTGTTGCCTTCCAAAATATAGACATTGAAAATGTCAGTTGCCTTTCTGTATTTGAGCTTCCAGGAGCAAAACCCATCTATGTAGTAATTATTTATGCCACTGAACATCAGTAGCAGGGGCAGCTTTATACAGTTGCAGAAATAAAGTGTTCATACCCATAATTTCCTCTGACATTAATGTTGCCTGTTTATTCACCCCCCTCACCATTTTGAAAATACATCCTTCAGTTTAATACAGCTTACTGAATATCTGTTTAGTCCGCTTGTGGCAGAAAACAAACAGCAATTGGTGTCTTGGCTCTATTACATTTCCTGACAAGTGGAAAATAATGTGTTTGTGATGTAATAAATACTTGGTTCTAAGTAATTCAGCAAATTGGCTTATTTAGCTTTAGCTCTGCAGGGATACACAGAGGGAACAATTTTCACCCATCATTGATTCCACACTGAAATGTGTGATGATTGTCTGTACCCACAGCTGTAAGAACTTTGTGGTGCTATGAGTGAATGAGAAGTTAGTGAAAATGCTGTTCTAAGTTGGTGCAACTCTAGCAACGATTATATTGTTTATGTGGCTAGAGATGGCTTTTGTCCATTTATGAGAAGCAACTGTTAAATATTCAGTAACTTTGTGAGCTGGATATTAAACCTTGAACTTTGAAATCAGGAGTATTTAGACCTCAGAAGTTGTCATCCATCTCAAAATCAGAGCTCCTTTCTGAGTGCTGATTTATGAATACACCATTATGTACTCTGTCAGTGTAGGAGAGTCACCAAGGCAATGGCAAGCAAAGAATTTAAGGTTTCACAGGAAAAAGTGAAAAGCACAGACTAGACACGTAGTTCAGTGGTAGAGGGTTGAATCCCCAGCACTGGGGGTGGGGGTGGGGGTGAAAAACACAAGCAAACTAAACCCACAAAATTATGGAGGACAAAGTAACATCTTTTCATAAAGGTGCACAGATGCAGCAAAGCATTTGAAAGACACTTTAGTATTAGGTCACATAAGTATGATAATAATTTGTGAAAGTGAGTATCAAAGCTTTGTCTTCTTTTTCATTGACGTACACACCGCAAATCACAATGGTTATCCCAAAGCACACCCACATAAGCGCCATTCAGATTATTAAGTAAATTTTGAAAGAGAAGAAAAAGACTCCTTGGTGGAATGTACCAGAGCAGGCAATCTGGGCAGGCATGCAAGAGGAAGGTGACTTGTGCCTGGAACAGATATGATCTTCAAGCATTTCAGCTACACACAAAACCCAGCTTTAGATTTTTTACTTTATTTGATTAGATGCTACAACTCAATTTGTGAAGACTTTTTAGCTGTGCTGATGAATATACATTTTATAGCTAAATTTAGGGCTTTTATTTTAAACGTTTTCTCCTTTGATATTTGAAGGTGTTGCTTAGCTACCCTCTCCTTTTCTTAGTGTAGGCTCTGACAGTGTAATTTCTTCAGCGGCAGATTCTGGAAAAAGGCTGTTATTAAATATCTCTCAGGTTCAGTAGCATATACAGAATGATTATTACTATCTGTTATGTTTATATTATTAAATCCTTAGTCTCTTAATGCTATCCATTTAAACCATCATGTAAGTCCACTTGTGCATTCTTTTTTTTGGGAAAAGGTGGATGTATATAAAGTGATAAATATGGTGATGATTAACACATGTCATTGTACTAAGTTGACTATCACTTTTATTGTAAAAGTTAATTTTTAAATGCAAGGCCCCAAAACAAAAATTATATCATAGCATAAAATTATACCCAAATGATTTTCCAAAATAATAAAACTCCCAATAGTGAGCCCATCCCATACACCTAATTTTTCTTCTTTGAGTTCTTCAGAATTTCAGTTCACTACAGCTGAACTTGGGCTATGGAGGGACATGAGCATCCTTGTTGGCAGGTTGCAATTGGTTATATATTCGTTAGTGGTGCTTACCAACTTTTACTATTTAGATTCTATCTCTTATGTGAAGTATAATAATTCTTTGGGAATAGACTTCCTTTGTAATTCCTAAAAATAGTTAGAAATTGTATTGTAATCCATACACTGCAGGGACCAAATAAATATATTTTATTGACTAAGTTATAGCTCAAGGAATTCAAAATGCTACCCTATCAAGCCCATTGATCTTTATATCATTCTTAATATTATTTCCTACAAATAGAAAAGGTTGAATGATATATCAACGATTATACAGAGAAAAGATGGCAAGAGTTAAGGGGACTTATCTATCTCTTTGATTTAGTTTGCCATACATCCTCTCACGATGATGGCAACTGTCCCATGCGGTGGTGGTATTTTTGTAAAGGCTTCCTTGTCCATGCTCATTCAAACCTGCTCTAAGGTATACTCCAGGATTTGTGCTTCTAGTGTTAGTAATGGGTATGTGTTGTTGCAGTTAAGAAGTAATGTGACTATGAACTGGACAAGACTAATTTTGTCAACCTTCTCAGTATGGAGCAAAAACCACTGAACTCCCAGCCATAGATATACTTTTGAGCCAAAAGCAAGTGTCAATAGCAAGAGTCTTTGTTTGCATTGCCCATCAGGTCATCCAAATAATCCTATAACCTGTTAGTTGGAACCAAGACCTCAGATACCCACAAAATTTGTAAATTGGTTATACGCTTGGGCAGTTTAGAGATAAGAATGTCCAATGTACTCTTTTTGTTCTGTTTCATTTATCCTGAAGTTTAAATCAGAAGGATTATTTTTCATCCTAATTGGAAACTTGGAAACCAAGTTGGCCCTGGTTATATAACATCAGATAAAAATATCACCAAAGTCAAGTATTAGTTAGGAAACAAAGAATGATCTCCAAATTTTGGCTATTGAGTTTTATTTTAAAATAAACTACACAGAGCTTAGAAAGCATTGTTCTGTCTTAACAAGTAAGTAGTTAAACAATTGAAAAAGTGACAACTCTTCTCAGATCTTCAGAAAATTGTTGTCACAGGGCAGATTGCTTCCCCAAAAATTGATTCTGTGAAAAGCTTAATAATACCAGTAAGCCTCTTGCCAGACTAAGAAATGAAAAGAGACTACATAGATTACTAATATCAGATATGAAACAGGGGACATCATTATAGATCCCATGAACATTAAAAGGATAATGAAGGAATATTATGAATAGCTCTCTACCCACTAATTTGATAATTTGACTGAAATAGACTAATTTCTTGAAAGAACTGTCAAAATTCACAAAAAAGGAATAGTTTGACTATACCTAAATTTATTAAAGAAATTGAGCCAATAATTAATAACCTTCCAAACAGAAAGCACCAGGCCTAGACGGGTTCACTGGTGAACTCTCGAAAACATTTAAGGAAGAAATTATTATCAGTTTTCTACAGTCTCTTACAAAAGATAGAAGCAGAAGAAATACTTCTGAACTGTGTCTATGAGACCAGCATTACCCCAATACCAAAACCAAACAGACATTATAAGAAAAATGCACACCAGTTTCTCTCATGAATGTGTATGTCTCATGAACAAAATTTAGCCAATTGAATTCCATAATGTGACCAGATGGGATCTATGCCAAATAATCATGGCTTGTTGAGCAGTCAAAAAATCAATTAGTATAATCCATCACATGAACAGACTTAAGAAAAATCACATGATCATATCAATAGATGCAGAAAAAGCATTTGACAAAAATCCACCACCCATTAATGATTTAAAAGTATCGAAAAACTAGGAATAAAGGGGAACTTCTTTATTGTGTCAAAAACAATCTACAGGGCTGGGGATGTGGCTCAAGTGGTAGCGCGCTCGCCTGGCATGCGTGCGGCCCGGGTTCGATCCTCAGCACCACATACAAAGATTTTGTGTCTGCTGAGAACTAAAAAATAAATATTAAAAAAAATTCTCTCTGTCTCTCTCTCTCCTCTCTCACTCTCTTTTTTTTTTTTTTTTAAAAACAATCTACGGGCTGGGGATGTGGCTCAAGCAGTAGCGCGCTCGCCTGGCATGCGTGCGGCCCAGGTTCGATCCTCAGCACCACATACCAACAAAGATGTTGTGTCCACCGAGAACTAAAAAAAAATAAATATTAAAAATTCTCTCTCTCTCTCTCTCTCTCTCTTTCTCCTCTCTCACTCTCTCTTTAAAAAAAAATAAAAATAAAATAAAATAAAATAAAAACAATCTACATAAAACCTACAGATTCCATCATAGTGATTAGAAACTCAAAGCTTGTCCAATAAGATCAGGAACAAAATAAGAATGTCTCCTTTCACCATTCTTTTTTGACATTGTATGGAGGGCCTAGTTAATGCAGTAAGACAAGAAAAAGAAATAGTAAGTATACTGATTGGAAAGACATGAAACTCACTTTTAGATTATATGATCATCTCTGTAGGAAAAAAATTAAATAATCATCATCATCAACAATAAAAGAAACTCCTAGAACTAAGCAGCTATATCAGATTAGTATAAAAGAGTCAATTGCATACTGTCATGTATAACTAATTAGAACAAGTTTTTTAAAAAAGAGCCAATTGCTCTCCTGTGTGCCAGCAATGAGCACGTAGAATTTAAAATTAAAAACGCAATACTGGAGCTGAGGCTGTAGCTCCATGGTAGAGCACTTGCCTAGCATGTGTGAGGCACTGGGTTTGATCCTCAGCACCACATAAAAAAAATAAATAAAGGCATGCTGTCTATCTACAAGTATATACAATATTTTTTTAAAGTCACCATTTCCCCCCAGATTAAATACTTAGGTACAAATCTAACAAAATATGTGTATGACCTACACGAGGAAAACTACAAAACTTTAATGAAGTACATCAAAGAATAACCAAATAAATGGAGAGATAGTCCATATTCACAGACAAGAAGACTCAGTATTATCAAAACGTCAGTTTTCCCAAACTCAATCTGTAGCGTCAATAGGACAATCAAAATCCCAGTAAGTCTTTTTGTGAATATCAACAAATAGATTCTAAAGCTTTTATGGGAAGGCAAAGGACCCCAAAGAACTAATTCAATGTTGAAGGAAAAGAACAAAGTTGGGGGACTGATATTACCTGATTTTAAGACTTATTATAAAATAGGTGTAATAAGATAATATGCCATTAAGTAACATAGATCAATGGAACTCTGTTAGAGGGTTCCGAAGTAAACTCACATAAATATAATCAACTCATCTTTAACAAAGGAGAAAAGGAAAATACAATAGAGTGAAGGTAGCCTTTTCAAGGAATGGTGCTAGAGCAACTGGATGTCCCCATGCCAAGAAACAAACCAACCGAGATTCAGATCTT